GGAAAACACGGGGAGGAACAAGAGAAACTCAACCGACAAACAATTGATCACACAAGGGCTAGATCACCGAACACATAAGGTAGCACAAAATTCAAAATCAACAAAGGAAAGATACACGGGTAGCCGTTCTTCTTCGTGAGGAGGTCTTGATGGTCTTCCCTTGAAGGGGTCTTGAATCCGCTTGGGGGATCTTCTCCGAAGAGGTCGTGAGCTCCGAGGAGAAGTAACCAAGTGGATGAGCAAGGCTCTCACACAAAATATGAGCTAAACCAATGCTAACCCTAAAACGTACGGGATGAGGGAGTATATATAGTCAAAGGGGAGGGGTACATGGGTCACGACCCAAAGGAGCTGCGCGCAGGCAGAGGGCGCCGGATGTCCGGACAACGGACCGGATGTCCGGGCGCTTACGAGGTGCCGGATGTCCGGGCTGGAGGGGCCGGATGTCCGGGCCAGTGGAGTTGACTCTTCTGTTCACTGGATGGGCGACGTCGGATGTCCGCTCGGAGGGGCCGGATGTCCGCGGCTTCGGGAGGCGTCGGATGTCCGGGGCGATCGCCGGATGTCCGGGCTGACGGGGCAAGCTTTTGTGCTCCCTAGACACCGGTGCCGGATGTCCGGGATTTCGGCCGGATTTCCGGTGGGGGCCGGATGTCCGGGCTGGACGCCAGATGTCCGGTCCCTGTAGCTTCTTCTGCAGATGCCTGACCTTGTGTATCTCCAGGGGCCGGATGTCCGGGGTCCTGGCCGGATGTCCGATGCGTGAAGGCTGTTCTTGCCTCCTTCCATGGGTTCTCTTCTTCCATGGACTTGGGGTCTTGACCATCTTCATGTGCATCCTCGGGAGGGTCCTCTTGGTACCTAATCATGCACAACATTCCGGATTGAGGTAGTAGCCATGTCTCGAGAGGATCATATGAGATATCACTAAGGAGAGAAGTCACCTCGGTCTCGAGAGCTCTAGCTCGTGCTCTAGTCATGGGTCCTCTTGGTGCTTGGTGAGGCGATGGAAGGTCCATGGGGATGACCAAAGGATGCTCCGCATCAAATTGGTTCGGTGTCTGTTCGAAGCATATGACCACGTTAGAGGAAGAATGAAGACGAAGTGAAGACGTAGCATTTGTTTTGTCATTCTTGTTCTTTCACTGAGTCATAGGACCACCGTACTATTAAGAGGGATGTAGCGTTTGACGCTTTTGATTCTCTGATGCTAAACCCAAATCCTATGAAAAAGGAGAGAGAAATCTCTTTGTGTTCCAAGAAAATACTTGCCAGCAAGAGACTGTGATCTTCTTTGCTGCGAGAGATTTGACTCGGACCGAGGAGTTAGCATTACTTGTTCCTCAAGCAATGTTACCGTTGCTCCAAAAATCCGACCGTTGTGAACGTGTCGGTTGGCCATTGGCTGGACCTCGTGTCCAAAATGGTCATTTCTCGTCAGGGAAGGCTACGGCTATAAATAACCACCCTGCGCCGGTTTTGTCCGGTGGCTGCTCCGTTTGATTCTGAGAAGATTGTTAAGCAACCCACTCTCTGAGCGATTTGAGTTTAAAATCCACCGAGAGAAAAACCCTAGAGCCGAAGAATTAGAGAGTGGTTTAGCATCACTAGAAAAGTTTATTACGCTCCGCCTATTACTCTTGAGAGCTGCAAACTCTCTAGACGGTTAGGTGTCAATTTCTGCAGAGACCAAGAGTGATTGTGGTTCTCAAAGAAGAAGTCTGTAAAGGTTCGGAGATCGCCTTCAAGTATCTACCATGACTCCATGAGTGATCGGCATCGGTTGACGAGTCGACTGTCGAGGAGAATAGGGCAAAGAGAGTTTATCTTCCGTGTTAAGTCACATCCCCTCCAACCAGACGTAGTCCTTGTGCAGAAGGACGAACTGGTCGAACAAATTCCTTGTCGCCATCGAGCATCTTCGGTTATCTCTCTCACTCATGATTACCTTCGATGCACGTCCATTCGTATGATTCTTCGATGCATGTTTTAGTTCTCTTTTGATGCTCTGTTCTAGTTCACCGTAGTTTACTTTTCTTTCATTCCGCTGCTGGGTTCTGAGAGATTTAAGTTTTCCGGAGAAAATTTAAAACTTCCATTCACCCCGCTCTGGTAGACATACTTCATTCCTATAGGGTCACAAGGGTCGAAGAAGACAATATTTACCTAGGTTCAGGCCCTCTCGAAGAGGTAATACCCTACGTCTTGCTTTTATTGTATTGATGATTGTGTATCGAGTACAAGCTTGATCTACCTCGAGATCGTAAGTTGTGTCCTAACCCTAGGGCTAGGAGGATGTGATTATGACCGGGTCCCCTCTACAAGCTAAACCCCTTGGCTTATATACACGCCAGAGGGGTATCTAGGGTTACATGGTCGGTTGCGGGTCCAAGGATGTGCATAGCGATGACCGAAGATATCCTTGGATTACACATCAAGTCGTCGGCAGAAGCTGTCTTGATCACGGCGAGGTGCGAGGCTTCCGGAGTCCTTATGAGAATGAGGGCCCATAAGCCTGGCCCAAGGATTGTGGGCCAACCAGGTTGGTACCCCCTAGTCCAGGACACCGTCAAATTGCTCTTTACTTTCTAGCCGCTTTGCCCTATCCCTATTTGCTTTTAATCGTGTAGCTAGCAAGAACAAGGGGATTGACAAACCCCCTTGCCTTTGTTGGGTGCAAGCAATTAATTTGTTGTGTGCAGGTACTGCTAATGTTGGTGGCTTGGTGCTTTCTACTCGTTGGATAAACCATGGTTCTTAACTGAGGGAAATACTTTCTGCTGTTATGCTACATCACCCTTCCTCTTCGAGGAAATCCAATAACTCCATCGAGAGTAGCAGCGGCATTTTGCCAAGACCTTCACATGCTGGCGGTTACTAGGTTGTTCCCGATGGCCACGTGGTTGATTCGTCACGGCACAACTACATTGTCTCTGACGCACCGCCGGCCGGTGTGCTCCTCCTTCCACTCCATGTGTTCGACGAATTTGGTGCAAGGAATTTTTTTTGCTTTCTTCTTGGGATGATTTTCTTTTGCTTTCTTTGCGAACAATATAATAGATGACAGTTCAAACTATTGCATGCACTGGAAGTGGAAAACTGCCATGTAGCATGGCATGGACAGTTCAAAGGATGCAACAAGGTTGCCACCGTCATTCTTGAGGTCGTGGCTGATCAGGGGCATGGATTTGGCATGCGTACTTTGGGACGCATGGTTCTTGCAATGACAACAATGTGCTCCAGAGGTCACCTCTATTTGCCAAGTTAGCCAACGGAGAGTCATCACCGGTGGAGTTCCTAGCCGCATCTACAACAGGGGCTACTACCTTGCGGATGGGATATATCCAAGGTGGTCTACTTTTGTGAAGCCAATTTTAAACTCAAGGTAAGAAATAACTCTACTTCCAGATTGCTCAAGCGGCCGCTAGGAAAGATGTGGAGAGTGCTCTCGGGATTTTACAGGACCGATTTGCTATTGTGCGAGGATTTTGGGACCAAGAGATCCTCTGTTACATCATGATGGCGTGCGTGATCATGCACAACATAATCATTGAAAATAAGCGTGGCGAAGATTAGGGCTACACCTTTTATGAGCTAATGGGGAAACCCGTGCAGCCGCGTAGAAGGGAGGACTGAATCTGATGCTTTATTGAGACGTACAATGAGATTCGAGATGTCGATACCCACAATTAAAAACAATAAGGTGTGCATCAAGGCCGAACGCTCGCGCTAGCCACGTCGGATAGGAAACGACAAAACAAACGCGACGGGATTGGTCAAATCGCTCACAAACGCGGGATTGGTCTAAACCTAACGCGGGTCTCCACCAGACTCCACGAGGCCACGACGCCTTCCCTCTTTGCCGCCGCCGCCGCCTCCTCCTCCTCCTCTCTTCCCTCGTTCTCCAGCCGCCGCCGCTGCCCTCGATCCTTCCTCCTCGGCTCTACCCACCCCATCATCTGTCCTCTCTCCACTCCTCCTCCTCTCACAGGCACTGCCGCCGCACATCACTGCTCCCCGTTGACGGTGAAGGCCCTGCAGATCCAGCCAGGAGGAGGCAGGTGACTCGAGCAGGGCTGGTCGCCACCGTGCGCCCACTCCGTCGTCACGGGTTGTCGCCACCGTGCGCCCACTCCGTCGTCACGGGTTGTCGTCAGGAGGGGGGGGGGGGGTTCTGCAAAAGTGCGTGACGGACCGACGAAACCCAATTTGCTTTATTATTAGGTAGAGATGTACCACTAAGTACTCCTAATTATGCTCTATCCTGTGATAACCTATGGTTTGCTTTTGGGCCCTCTTATCACATGCTTTTCAAGACGCTAAACCTATGTTGCTGCTTATGTTAAATGCACTATTCTCAGTCAGATATTTCATGTTTAGATCCATAATAGGCTTTCTCTGTATATATATTTCTATTTCTGCTGCTAAGTTTCTTAATTAAAGCAATCATCCCAAACGCTAATTAGAATAGAAATAGGTATTAAAGGGGCGACTACAACTAGGCACCGCCCAGCTCTCCCTCAAGAGGCGCGCCACGGGCACGCCCCAACATCTAGTGATCTTTAAAAGGACGCCATGGAGGAATGGTGGAAGTGACATGGGGAACAACATCCCTAATTTCATCTTCTCGTGTGATGTGTGATGAAAAATTTGTGTAATAATTTGAATAATGTATGTGATGTGTGATGAACAATTTGTTTGTAGTGTTTATGATTTATTTGAGAAGATGAGTTTGATACAAATATGTTCAATATGTATGCAATTATCGTGCTCAATATACATCATTTGTTGGAGCAAATGGTGTCTATTTTATATCATCGGTTAAAGTAACATGTTAGATGATGTTTTTTTAGGGGCATGCTCAAACTGATGTATAATGCACTTTTTGATGATGTAAAACTATTTTTTATGTGCCTTTTTATGTACTTTTTTTTATTTTGAGGAGGTAAGAGTTGGGCTGTCGCACCACGGCGAGGTGGTTACCGCCAATCGGCGCCAGAATGGGCTTTCCTGGGCCAAGCGCGCCGTTGCGCGGTCGTAAGAATATATACCGAACAAAAAAGAAAAACAAATCCATCGTCGCTCTGAAAGAGATAAAACAAGCAAACCCTAGCTTGTCGGGAGATTCACTTCACCAATTCACCTTCGCCGCCGCTGCTGCCCGACCCGCCATGGCTTCCACCAGCACCACCTTACCTGATTGGTTGATGCTCGACCGCTTCGTGTTCTGGAGCGAGAACTTCACCTTCCCCAAGGACGCCGATTCAACCCTGGCCACCGGCACCAACTCCATGGATAAAAAGTTCCAGATCTGCTTCAAACTCGTTGAGCCGCCGGAGGTGTCCCGCCTTTTTCTGCAGATGGATGAAGGCTTGTCGCAGTCCCATAGCTTCGACATCATCGCCGCCCACCGCGCCGCGGTGCTCCTCCAGATGAGTTATCCTATCCTTGTGCCAGGCTACGAGAACATCATCCCGATGATCGACTACTTCCTCTACTATACCGCCGGTGGTGGCTCTCCGCCGTCTCTACAGCGGCTACCCCCTCTTGACGGGACCATTGCCCAGGTCCAGGACCAAATCAAGGCCAGTGCTGACGTCATGACGAATCAGTTTTTGCGCAGGCTGAAGTGCCTTGACCTAGGCGTCCTGTGCCGCGGAGAGGATGAGGTCGCCGTCGCACAGCTCGAGATCACCGAGTCCGGGGCGCCACCTAAACTCCAGGTCCTGTGCCCGTCTATCTCTCGCAGTTGGGAGGTCAAGCATCCGCCCATCGTACCCTGCGACGATGTGAAGGAATTTGATTTGGAGGAGGTCTTTAAGAACTTTGATGCTCACACAGTCATCCCCTTCAAGAGTTACCTGTGTTGGGTTGATTACTCCTTTGGTATCTTGTTCTGCGATGTGTTCAATGAGAGCCCCAAGCTCCTATACCTGGAACTCCCGGCTAAATTGCCCATATTATGGGCCGGACACAAGGGCCGAGCATGGGTAGAGGCGTACCACACCGTTGGTGTCACAGCGGGTGAGGTTATGAAATTTGTCAAAGTTGTCGATGGCAATGATGAGTTTTTTGAAACCACTGAACCTGCCAGTGATGATTTCACCATCACCTCCTGGGCACTAATAACAGAAAGCAACAGCGTGATGAAGTGGAAGCAGGATGCATCTATTAGATCCAGTGAGATAGGGTTTGGTGGACTCACACATCTTCCTCGTACCCCATTAGAGTACCCTGTTATCAGCATGTATGAGCCCAGTATCATTTACTTCATGATCGGGCATGACCAAGCATCGTACATGTATAATAAGGTATGGATTGTTGCCATTGACATTAGCAATGGCAAGGTGAAGTCGTCATCTGCATACATCAATGGTACAGAACAGGTGGGGGACCTCTGTGCTGATGAAGCTTTGTACTTTGCCAAAGAAAAACCCCAGGTTTACTCTACCTTTCTTCCTGCCGAGTTCTCCAAGCACCTCAATTTGCTTGGAACAAGGTAATTGCTTCTCATGAATTTACTTTGTGGTTTGTGCACAATATTCATATGGACTGTTTGTTTTCTCAGCCACTTATGTGTCTAGACTCTTCCTGCCCCATTTGGTGTTTGTGTCAATCAAGGGCAGTCTTGATCTTACTTCCAGGAAACAAAAATAACCTGGGATCTAGAGTTTGGAATTTGAATCAAAATTTTGAAGAGAGATGTTAGTTGGCTGTGACCAATAGGAGTACTGTCTTACTCTCAGTTTTTCTCTTCATATTAGCTGTCACATCTGTATGATGGCCATCCTTCAAGGCTTCAACCAAATCTTTCTACCTGCAATTTCCAGCAAGTCAAGTTGCACCTTCTACCACCGAGTCTTTGGGTACTTCTTTTTGAGACAATGTTGGTGGGAGAGACACAAGGTGTAGATGCTGCCCTTTAGAAAAAGGAATCCGCCAGAGAGATGTCTCTGTTGTTTGATGTTTTGTTTGGTGTCATCTTTTAGCAGCCGGACTCATAGTTTTATATAGTAATACAATGCCCTTAGTTTTGTTGTTCGTTGGTGGGTTTCTTGTGTTTTTCTAGAGCTCAAGACAATGCATTCACCCGGAGTAGGGAATTCTATCCGACCTGGATGCAACCATTTATATGGCACTGCACCAACTTGTTACTGTAGAATGTGTAATTTATCATCTTGCAAGTCCTTACTGCCCCCATGGTGCTGGGTGCCATAGTTTCACCTGTCTAACTCCATGGCTTTGGCAACAGCCTGCCTGCACCATTACGGCCCATGCATCCCTTACGCCAGCACATTTGCTACCTCACACGGTCTTAACTGTACCTGACAATCACATGGAGGTCTGGTCATTTGCATTACAAAACAATTGACATCATAGAGGGTCTGACCTAATTTTATTAGTCAAGACATACATGTGACTTGATATCCGGAAGATTCTATGTATGTTCATTCTGAGCGGCTAACCCTAAAAATTGGATTAGTCCATCATCTATATAGTGAAACATTGGTATTCTCTATTTGTACTACTATTCATATCTTATGCTGCCTGGAGTCTGCAAGCAACCAAAACACCAGTCTAGCACATGAACGGTTCTATGTTCTGCGTATGTAACTCTGTTCTGTTTGTGTTGGAAGGATGGTTGCGTTGCGTTTTGCTCTTCCAAAGCAAATGCTTCTACATGATAACTGGTTCACTACATTGTGTCTAATGTAGTTGTGGTAAAGTAGTCTTTGTTTTCACAGTTGGAAGTACATTTTTCCACCCTTGTTTATCCCATGTTTGGTATACAACCCTACTGGTGATATTCTGCACTGTACCTATCTGAATCAACTATGGGCGTTCTATTAACTTGGCAGTATTCTTGTAGGACTGGTCTTCTCCAAGGTGGGTGCGATCAAGCTATCGGTATTGCAGTACCTGAAAAGAAGAGGAAGTTAATGTGATGAAGTTATCAGTTTGATAGATATGTTATGCGTCAAGCAACAACGTGAAAGGACGGGCAATAATTGAAAAGTGCATGTTTTGTTTGAATGCAGAATTTTTATCACCTTTTGGAACATCTGGTAGATGACTCCATGAAATTACTTCGTATTTGTTTCATATAGGAAATCTTGCAGTGTCCTTTCAATTTGTAATAGCTTATTCGCGTATTGTCTCGAAGTGTATGTGGTGCTGTTGACCCACCTCCTCACGGTCTTTGGTGTGGTGTGTCGTTGGATGGGCACATCGTGGATATGGGTCGTCCAATCAGCCTGTTGAATTGACACATCGTGGTGTGTTTTGGGCCGTTGGATTGGCACATCGTGCTGCGTTTGACCGTGGCCCACGCCCGCCCGTCAGCGTGGCATCTAGATGTTGCGCCTACCAGTAAGACGGGTTAGGATCCTTTGCAGTGCTGTACAGTCACTGCCATGTGGAACCTGGCCCCACATGTCATCGGCACTATAGCACCATATGGTACTGTAGAGGATCCCAACCCAGTAAGACTGTCTAGCGGTTGTTTTGGTTCACTGATGCATGTTCTTTGTTGCATCCCAGCAAAATTGATGCGTCTGCATCCCACGAGCATCCCCATGGACATTCTATTACCACCGCAAACACGAAGCGGACCAATGACGAGAGCACGAGCACGTGCCATTGAAACTGAAGTTAACTCTTTCCTCTTTGAGCATTCTTTGGATTCACATGAGAATTGGCTTCTACCTCAAACAAAACATTATGCATTCTTAGGTACCAAGGAGAAGGCTGTGAAGAGGAGGCAAGGAGGGAGAAGGAGGTGCCACAGGGTTTGGGTATGGGTGGAGCCACCCTATACCCTTACCAGTCATCCCAAACCTTACCCATCACCCTTACCCATATTCGTTGACATGTATAATTTTTTTCCATACCCGTCACCCATTAGGGTAAATGGGTACCCCGGTAAAATTATCCAGATTTGCAGCACATCAATTTGAGCATTACACAGTCATAAACAACAACTTATAATAATAATTTATATACGACAACACATCATGACAACAACACATACTCATTCGTGGGCTAGTTATTGTGGTGCGGTGGCCTAACATGAATGCATGATGAGATCCTTTTAGGGCTGTGGGATTTATGTACACATGGTATTTTTAATATGTGAATAAATAATATATAAGACCTATTTGTCAAAATATATGCGGGTACATAGGTATGAAATTTTCCTATTTATGTACCCGTGGGTATTTTTTTGACCCATACCCTTGCCCTAATAGGGATTTCACCCGCAGGGTACGCGGGTAATGGGTACCCATTGCCAACTCTAGGGAGACCCAAGCACCCACAGAGAAGGAGGAAGGACACCCATACGCAAAGAACCGAAGGCCTCGGACCACCTCGGGTGCCCGGGCCCTTAGTCGCCACCCAGGTGAGCTCCCTGACCACCCCGGGTGCCCGGACCGGCGACCACAGGAGGGGCATTGCCCCTTGACCCCTCCGGGTGCCCGAGCCCTCACACCCCGGGTGCCCCCCACCTGGCGTGACCCCGGGTGCCCGACCCCCTCCTCCCAGCGACCCCCTGGTGCACGATCTCTTTACCCGGGTGCCCGGACCTCTCCAGCCATGCCTGCGCGCATTTTGGGTTAAATGGCCCATGTATCCCAGTTTTCCCCTCAGTTTGTTCCTAGGCTATAAGTACTTCATATCTAACTCCAAAGTAGGGTTAGCAAAGTGTATGGGACTATCTAGAGGGAGCTTTGCTCATCTACCACTCCTCTTGGAGATGAAGACCTCATAGGAGAAGATCCCTAGTGGATATCAAGGCCTCCTCTTGGAAAAGACTATCATCAAGACCTCACCTTCTTTGGAGTGTGAAGAACATTACCCTAGTGCTATTTTCCTTGAATGTTTCTTGTATTCTTGTGGATATCATGTGTGCTACTCTAGTGAATGTGTAATTGGGTTTTGTTTGAGTTAATTTCCCCTATGTTCTTGTGAGTTCATCTCTTTCCCCCTCCAAGTGTGAAAACATCCTCACTTGGGGTTCTACCCTACAACATCCTGGTGTCATGAACTAGGTCGATTCACATCTTGGAGTCCATACCCCCCATTTGCGAGCCTAATTTTGTTGCTTTTTGGTCCCAATTTGAAAATCCTCACAAAAAATAGCCTACCATTTTTTTTGCATTTTGTTGGTTTTTGTGAGATTTTATTGTTTTGGTCCATGGATCTGTTGTTTGGCAAGTGGATCTAGCCTCTCCCCAACCATCCACACCATGCCCACCACGAAATCCACCCAATTTTTCTAGCCCCCCTAATTTTCCGCCCAAAAGGGCCACCCCCGGGCACCCGGATCCCTGGGAAATTTTTGCCCAACCCTCGCTGACCACCCCGGGCTCTCGCACCCTCCAAACCCCGGGTGCCCGCACCCCCCAGTTTCAGCCCAAACCTAACATCGTTTTCATCATAACTTTCACTCCCGAAGTTTGTTTTGCTTGTTCTTTAGCTCGTTTTGTAGCTATTGACATTCCTCATCCACGTAGATTATTACCACCACCATTTGCTTCCATAAAATTTTTCACCATAAAAGCATCCACCTTCCGCATTTGATCGATTTTGAGTTGCGGTTTCCGTTTCCTAAGGTGTTTCGGCTAATTAGGAACAATTTGACATCGACAACACCACTATTCATCATCACCACGGACTCGACATCGACAACGAGCACTTCATCCTCATACCAACCGTAAGCAAGGATGGTAACCTCGACGACACCTAGTACCTTTCCTTGCCATTGCATTGATAACCCCATCCATTTTGCATCACTTACCTATCGAGACTAGTGAGTTGAGAATTGCCGGGCCACGCTCTTTGTGCACCATAGTGATACCCTTACTCCGCATAGCTACATTTAGCGTGAAAATCATCTTGCTATCATCTTTGTGCCATAAATCTCTCCTGTGCATATCTTACATAATTGTCTCATATTTTCGCTTGCAGATCAAGCATTGTGGCATAGTAAAAAGACGAAAAAAAGAGAGAAAGACAAAGCTTTTAGGCAAAAGAGGAGAAATAAAGAGCTTGTAAGCAATAGCACTGAGCCATCTTTGCATAATTACATCATATTAGATCATACATACATAACAAAATTGGATTGAAGATGACACATTACTCTCATAGGTTGGTACACAAGCGTATCTAGCCCATTTGAGCAATCGAGCTGTTGTCTCTCTTGTATCCATGCAACAAGAGCATTTTCTGTGATGACACATTTTCTGCTCCTTCCTTGGTTGCGCGGATCCCACTTATCTTTCATGTGCGTGTTTCCAAGTGACATCCTAGGCTTTGATATATTTGCATTACTTGTAATTTTGTGAACCTTCTTAGCATTATCAATATCTTGACTAACACTTGCTTGAATTTTGTGCCACGCATCCTAACAATGCTCCTCGATAATCCCTTACTTTTGTAGGTGTGAGAAACAAACCCTGTACCAATTCTATTATTGTAGCATTATATTGAGTTATACTCGATACATCCTCAATCTTTAGAAAAGGTAACTTCGGTATTGTTCTCTCATTTCCTACTCACCACCACTTGATTATCATGGATAGGCCAAGCACTTCGGCAAACCCACTCTTCGAGGATTGAGATGAAGCGCACGACTACGACACCAAAAATCATCTCTTCGGCATTCAACGAGCTCTAAATCAAGAAAGCGAAGCTTTGGGAGACCGCATCGGGAAACTCTCCATGGACCTTCGTCAACCGAAAGCAAGGAACCAGGACTATCTTGATGCCAAGCTATCCACACAAATGGAAGAATTTCGTCACATGATGGTTAACCACACGTCATTCACATCATCTTTATCAAAACGACGCCACTCTAGTCGACACTCTTCGTACCCTTCTTACAATGTAAGTCTTCAACGAGCTCGTTCTCATCGCCACAATGTCCGTCAAGATCGCCAAGCTCAAGAAAATCCATTCCATGGAAATGGTTTGCAAGACTATCTTTGAGAGCGCGAACGACTTCGTCGCCAAGAAAAAGGTGCCATGGAACAAGAGCAAGCCCCACGATGCCAACACCAAGGCAACAAAGACTATGATGCACTATGGCAAGAGCAACAACACAGTGAGGAACAAGCGCTTGAATCACAACATGCACTCCGAGAGGCCACTCGTGTCGTCGATGAGCGCAACCTCGAGTGCGTGAACAAGAAGAAATGCTCCGTCAAGAGATACAAGATGAATCCACTCGTCTTGATGAGAGCCAAGAAATGAGGAACTGGGCACGAAACCCTCGTCCTCAACAACAAGCCAATCATGAGGAACAAGAGTGAAAGGATCGATATGGTTGACTAGAGGGGGGGGATGGGGGTGAATAGGTAACTACCAATTTTTAGCTTTTCTTAACAAATTAGGTTTAGCAACAAATAGGTTGTCTATAAATGCAACTAGGTGAACAACCTATATGATGCTAGCAACAACAACCACACAAGCAAGCAAGAGATAAAACACAAGTAAAGCTTGCACAAAGTAAAAGTGTAACCACAAGTGGAGCCGGTGGAGACAAGGATATGCTATTGAAGTTCTTTCCATTTGAGGGGAAGTACGTCTCCGTTGGAGCGGTGTGGAGGCACAATGCTCCCCAAGAAGTCACTAGGGCCATTGTATTCTCCTCACGCCCTTGAAGGCGACAACCGGACCTTTACAAACAAGGTTGGGGCTCTCTCCACAACCAAATTGGAGGCTCCCAACACCACCCAAAGCTTCACCATAATGGTATGTGGCTCCGAGGTGACCTCAACCGTCTAGGGTGCTCAAACACTCAAGAGTAACAAGATCTGCAAGACATTAGTGGTGGGAATCATTTCTCTTGGTGGAAGTGTAGATCTAGGCCTTCTCAACCAACCCCTAAAGAATCAACAAGTTTGGTTGGCTAGGGAGAGAGATCAGGCGAACATGAGCTTGTGAG